ACAACGGTTCAGGGTTTAGGGTTCAGGGTTTAGGGTTTAGGGTAGTTAGGAAGTTTAGGGTTCAGGGCTTTCGGGTCCTTAGGAAGTTCAGTGTTCATTTTGCAAGTGAGCAAGGGCGTAGGTCTTCCCAAGACTGCTGGGGCACTCCGTTCGACCCCGAAGCCGAAAGTGAGGCTGCTGAATCATAGAGCCCTACAGCCCTAAACCCTAAAACCTATCATGTCATAGAGCCCTAAAGCCCTAAAACCCCCCAAAGCTATCATAGAGCCCTACAGCCCTAAACCCTGAAACCTATCGTAGAGCCCTACAGCCCTAAACCCCAAAACCTGTGATGCTCGAAACCTGGCAGGTCTACACTGCCAATGGCGACCAGCCACCTGGCTTCCAGCTATACTATACTGAAGCTTAAGGCTTCTAGATTGCCTTATAAGGGTCCAGGTAATATAGCCCTTGATAACTACCCATACTATTCTTTTTTGGGGGGTCCTTATTATAACAATAGTAGAATGTACCCCCAAAACCCTATTCTATTTATGACGTAGTCCTTGTATATGGTTTTGCGTATCCGAAAAGGCCCCAAAAACTCACAACGAGGCGTACTTGGACCCTTAGGGACTTGATGGGTTTAGGGGTTAGGGGGTTTCGGGTTCAGGGTTTAGGGGTTCAGGGGTTTAGGGTGCAGCGGTTTAAGGTTTAGGGTTTAGGGTTCAGTCAAAGGCAGACAAGCCGAGGCTATGCCACATCTTGGCCGACCTCGCATGGACAGCAGACATGTTGAAGGCCTCGGATCATGCAGAGCTGTAGAGCTTGCAGGGTCGCCTTCAAAACACTGAGCGCCAATCCCGACGTGTCTCAAGATTAGGGACTGTGTTTGGGGTGTCCTCTCAATAATGACCGTATCATTCAGGACTCTAGATCAGCATCGCTCATTTTCTGCAACTCCGAGGTGCTTATATGTTTGCAAGCTCCCGGAACCTTCAAAGGAAATACTACAGACACCTCCAAGTTGGCAGAGCAACCTTGTGGAAGTCTAGGTTTCTTCTTTTCGGTCGTACGTTGGCTCACGAAAGCAACAAGCTAGTACATGATACTCGTATGCTCTGCCAAATGACCCTACATAACTACTACCTATCCTAAACCAAAGTACCTAAATATTGGGTCCTTCGGGCTCTTGGGGTAGGGGCTAAACCTTCGGAGCTGTTCAGTTTGCAGCGAGCTCCAGTTACAGACTACAATTATGCGACAAGGAGCCCAAAAGCCTATTCTAATCCCTAAACCATAAACCCTAAGCCCTCAACCCTGAACCCCAAACCTGAAACCTCAGAGCTTAAAGCTCATCAATGTGGAGTCGGATAGCCGCGGCATCCTGGGAACTGAAAGGGCGGACCCCACCCGGCACCCCCAACCCCAGTCACCCACCCTACACCATCAGGCCGAACCCTAAACCTTGAGGCCTTCAGCCCTAAACCCACACCCATAGTCTCCTTGGTAGTTCCTTTTGGGGATACCTTATAAAGATCCTTGGTATATAGCTGGTTAAACCAAAAAAAAAGGAACTACAATGGAGACTATAGGTAAACCCTGAATCACCCTAAACCCTCGGCCAATATATTTTAAGCCCTAAACCCGAAGCCATGCAAGAGGAAGCTGTCGCCTCTCATGCTGGCGAAGGGTCCCTTGGCCGGGCATATAGGAGGGCTAACGGTTGATTCCACAGGGTTTACCATGAATGCCTAAATCATGACCAGCATCATTCCTTACGCTCCTTCATATGATATAGCCCAAATCCCATGTTCAATTTCTTAAGGTCCTTGGCTTACAGTAGGGTATCGGGTTCAGCGTTTTTGGTTTTTCTTTAGGACGTGTTTAATTATGATGTCCTTTTCTCATAGGGACCCTACCGCCTCCCCCTACCCCCCTAAGGGTCCCTATGGTTTTCTGGTTCCTTCAAGCGGCACGAGAGCCAAAGGTTCAGGAGGTCCTGGGCGGAAGTTGTAGGGTCTTCTCTGGGGGCAGGTTGAAGGCTCAGGGTTTAGAGTTTAGGGCTTACGGCTTAGGGTTTGGGGGTTCAGGGTGGAGGATTTAGGGTTTAGAGTTTATAGTTTAATGTTGTTTTGGGGTTTAGGTTTATGGTATTTTCGGCTTTGGGGCGTTCTTGAGGGTGCCAGGGTTGAGTGTTACTCTGCGGCCTTTGGGGTGCGCATAGACGCTCAATATAGCGTTGTATGTTGTTGGGAGGTCCTAAACCCGAAGCTCGAAACCCTAAGGCTCTAAACTGCAAAAAGCATGATAGAACCTTCAGCCCTAACGTCCTAAAGCCTGAAGCAGAATTGTGGGTGCCAGAAGGGCATGGAGACTTCGCAGTTAGACTTAGAGGCTCGGGGTGTATCCAAAGCAGACTGGTTGAGGGTTAAGGGTTCAGGGTTTAGGGTTTAGGGTTCAGGGTTTAGGGTTTAGGGTTTAGGGTTTAGGGATTCAGAGGGAGAGAAGACGAGCAGAGCAAGGTCGACCACAAAATACGGAGAGGCAGTGATCAATAACTCCACATGAAGGAAAAAAGGTGCGCCATCTCTGCTGCAGCATTAGCGTGGTGGCTGAGAGAGTGCACTTTCCTTTTTGGACACTTTCCTTTTTTAGGCGGCTATATAATCATACTATCCCCTAGAATATAGAACTGAGAGTCTACACTTCTTTTGGCCTATGAACTCAGCAACGAAGCTTTAAGATATCATGAAAGCAGGATATGCCCGAAGCCCGATGCTTCTCAGCAGACCAAGGACCAAGCATGCGAGGAATTACCCTAAACAGTAGGCTGATCCATCTTGGAGGGCTATGCAAACGACATGAAGCCCCAACCCTAAACCCAAATACAGCCCCACAGTCGCACGCCACGAAAATGAGCGAATCCCAGAGTGCCACGCTGAAGACGCCGAGAGGAACACAAAGAAAACCCCAAAACATGCGAACCCCAACGGTCGACCCTCAACCAAGCTACACTTTCGCCCAAACCCAAGCCCGAATCCCCACGCTGAACCCCAGAAAGTTGGAATCTGGGTTTTGGATGATTAGTGCTGGGTTTCCTTATACTTTACCTTAGGCGCATGACGATAAGAATGTTCCAACTTTCTGGCTTCTGCTGCACACCCCAGAAGCCCAAGAGTCCGAGACCTAAACCCTAAACCCCTAAACCCCAAAAACCCTAAACCCGTAACCCCTAAACTCCTAAACCCCTAAACCCCAAACCCCTCAAGCCTAAACTCTACACCCTAAAACCCTGAGCCCTAAAACCCTAAAGCCTGAACCCTAAACCCTAAAACCCTGAGCCCTAAAACCCTAAAGCCTGAACCCTAAACCCTAAAGCAGCCAAGGAAGTGCCTGTGCGACCTCTTGGTCGGGGGTCGCTACTTTGACGACGCCGGAGCAACGCTTGCCACACTGGGCCACTGGGATTCGGTTTAGGGCTTAGGGTTTAGGGTTTAGGGTTTAGGGTTTAGGATTTAGGGTTTAGGGTTGAGGGTTGAGGGTTTAGGGTTTAGGGTTACAGGGCCCAAATAATTACCAAAACTATTTCGTGTTGCTTAGCTGCAAAGGCCTCACCTCGTTTCACCGTCGAGTTTAGCATGAGTTTTGGGACGCGCCCGAATAGGGCTCTGACTGTCCGACACACAAGCAAGCAAGCAAAACTATTTCGTGGGGTTCCTTATTATAAGAGTATAATGGGCCCCAAGACCCTATTCTAATTATGCAAGGCCCCTATATCAGGGCTAATGTAGGGTTTAGGGGTTCTGGGTTTGGGGCTTGTTAGTATTAGGGGTTTAGGCTCAAGGTTTAGGGTTTGAAGAAGTAGTAACGGTATGTCCCCTTCTTGCAAATGACGCAATGTACACCGAAGCTTGCTAAAACTCTTCTGATCCCTACATGAAACGCTACACCCTAAAGCTTGTCAGGCTCCGCCACAGTGGTATTCCGACTGTCACAGGGAGGAAAAGAACCGTCAAGCAACAACCAAGTTTGGGAAAATTCAGACTTTCGGGTTTCTGCCAGTGAGGTTCTCGGGCACTGGGCTGTTGAACGGTTTAGGGCTTAGGGCGTCTAGGGTTTAAGGTCATAAGACCTCAGGGCGCCTGGAGGAAAGGGGGTGACTCTCTCAGATCCTCAGACGCGCCGTCAACCCTACACTTTACACCCCGAAGCGCAAAAGCCGAGACCAAGGACCGTAAACCCCAAACCCTCGACCCCGTACCCTACACCGGAGGCCCGAGACCCCAAAGCCTAGACCTCAGACGCTAACCTCTATAACCGAAGTAAACCCCCAAGGGTGCAAGTACCTAATAATCAGATACTCTCCCAAATAGTAACCTACATAACTACTATCCGAAACCTAGGTACCTGATTATTGGGTCCTTTGGACCCTGGGGGAACAAAAAGTCCGAGGATTGGAGCCGAACACCGGCATGACGCCCGTGGAGGCAGTCGTACAGAAGCCCCTTGGCTGAAGCTTAGGTTTGGGGATCTCCAGGGTTCTAGGGTTTTGGGATTTTGGGGTTTTGGG